GCCTGGAAATCATAGATATCCACCTGCCTCTGTTTTCTGCATGCTGCGATTAAAGGAATACACTACCATGCTTGGCATTCTTACTCTTTCTTTATAATGACATCGATCCTGCTCGCAAAGGTGGAAACCTTATTGCCCTGTTACCTCTTAAAGCTCCTCCCTCTTAGTATGGTTATCATGGTGATTAAATTTCAGCATGAGTTTTGGAGAAAACATTCACACCAAATCAGGTGCCAAGCACAATAGCAATTTACATGGATTGTTGCTAGTCTTCCATTTAACAACTTAGGGTGCCAGGCTTACACTACAGAGCTACCAAATCTCTGCCTTTAGCTTTTCCGAGTCCTTGGCCAGCTTCTCCTGCAGGTCACAACTTCTCCTGCAGGTCACCAACAGCATCCAGGTTGGTCATAGTAAGAGCGTGAAGGAGGTTGCAGACTGGCCTTGCTCTCCTATGTGGACCTGGAAGCCCCAGAATAGCTTAAAGCTGAACACACTAAGCTGCGTCACCAGCTCCAACATGTGTGTGAGGAGGTATGTCCCTTCTGATTCATCACTTGTGCCCTAAATCACATGTGCCATCCTGCCTCTCCCATACAAATGTCTGCTTATTTGCAGCATCATCTTGTTCTGTACTTGGCACCTGCTTTGGTTTGAATGTCTTCTTCAAACTTCCTGCTGAAACTCAATGGCCATTGTAACAATATTGAGAGGTTGGCGGTGGTGGTGGCAGGGGCTTAGAAAGTAAAATGCTTCTCAAGAGGCAGTGGGGTGAGACCTATGTCCGTTATGGGTTTTTTCCTCTTGCCTCCAATCTACACTTTTTTTTCTCCTGCTTCATTGTATGGAGGGCTCTTGGTAAACATTGTTTCTCTGTTAACAGAGGAAGCAGAAGGGACACTGAAGGAAGCCAGAAATTCCCAATCTGTCTGTGCTCTCCCAGGCAGAGACAGGGCAGGACATCCAGCTTGTTCACTCCTGGAAAGATTTAGTGTTTTGCCATTTCAGGAGGTTTTCTAGAGAATTTCACGGGCATTCTGAAGTTACCTTCTTTGTGATGTTCATCAAGTCTTGCTGATGGAATCCAGCCAGTTGGACCAATACTCTAGAGAGCTGGTGTCTATTTGTCATCCCTGGCATGAAGAACCACCAGGAACTTCTCTATTGCCCACAGGGTACCATCACCCCTTCCGAGGTAGAATCAGCACTGGGTAATTTGAGATACTTCTTCTAAATGTGTTTCTTGTCTGGGTACTCTGTCTCTGCCTGAGATGTGAGGCCGCTCTTTCCCTGTGTTATGTGTGAACTTACTGTAGTTTTCTTTACCCGCTGGTGGTAATACTGTGCTGCTCATTAATATTGCTTCTATTAACTTTCCCCTGTGTGAATTACTATGTGCTTCCCGTCTCCTAGCTGGATGCTGACCAATGGCTTTTGCTTCTAGCTGTTTTGTTTTTAAACAGAACTTAATTTTATTAGTTCAAGATTTTGTTTTAGAAGGAATATAAATTACTTTTAATATGACTTTATAAATAAAGAGATTGCCTGAGTGTGCCATTTCAAGAGGCTGTTTGCTTTCTTTGGCCACACACGAGGTCTGTTTCTCAAGCTGGGAGCATGGATCCCTGTGAGGAGATTCAGAAGCAGTGGTGGCTATAATGAACCACCCTAAACACAAGGATTTACACAATGACTACGATTTTTCACGTAACAAGAAGACTCCAAAGGTACATCAGAAATGGTGTGGACATGGGAAGGGATGGAGAATTGAGAGCCCCAACCCCCTAACCCAGGGTTTAAGCACATAATTGAATTCAAGCCATAGTTAAAATTTTCTGGTTTTCATTCTGTGAGAAAATATGGCCATCCTAAGACTTCAGTGCCTATATTTGCAATTATGGTCAGGTTCTCATGAAGGATGGCCGTACACAAGCATGTTCAGTTTTGTTTATTTATATGCTCACATGTGTAGTTGCTAATCATTTGTGGACTTGAACCCTTTTTAATTATTCATTGCATTTCAATATCTAGATGCTATCACTTATCACAGTTATTTTTCATAGGTTTTCATAGCCATAGACAAACAAAAAAGTCTACGAACTGAAGTGCACTAACTACTGCTAAATGAGCTGCGTGTCTGGTGTTGTGTGACAATTTCCTCTGAGATAAAACCCTCCACCCTGAAGAAAAGGTCAGTCAAACAAAATTTTCTAAAGGAGATGAAAGATTTTCTAGCTGGGAAGCTAGTTCCTTGCAGGAAGCAAGCAATGCAAAAGAGTCAGGAAGTTCCTGAAACTGACCAGATTTTCTACGCTCCTCTCTCTCCAAGCGTATATAAACTATTAGGACTGCTGAAAGGCATTCTCAGACCAGCAGAGCTGCCTGGGAGACGCAGAAATCCACTGAGTGACCCAGAAGAGACTCAGGCCCTCCCGGCTCCCTGAAAGAGACAGTCTCCAATCCGCTGAACTGTGTGTGGGCTGGACAGTGTACTGTAGGTTTCTGGCTTCTGTGATCTGCTACTCACACTAGTGTGGGATTTTGGTGATGAAACTGTTTTTGAATCATTTATGCTCTTATAAGTAACCCCTCACTTATATCCCTATAAGTAACCGACATTAAATCCATTGGTTGGCCTTTGGTGGTATCCGTTCTTTGATCTATTATCAGCATGAACCATTTGTTCACATGTCTCTAGGAATGTAGGAATGGCATCACACAGACCTTGTATTTAAGGGAGTTGTTATCTAGCTAGTATCTGCTGAGGCCATCTCAGCATCATCCACCCAGTGTTTGAGTAACCAGCAGGAAGGGAATATGTATGGAGACATATGAGAATTCTATGCCTTAATCCCTTTGATCCTCCAACTCAGAGGACCCAGCCAGATGAAACCTGGAGATTGTACCTACTTCTGCCAAGGAGAGATAGGACAGCAGGACTCCACTGGGGAGGTTCCAGAAAGCTAGGACCATGGATTCACTTAGTGGTAGGAAGCTGACAACTCCTAGAGCTTCCCACAGTGGGTCTGCTGGGCATCTGGGGCCATGAACCTTGAACCCTTCAGAGCAGATGCCAACAAAAAAATTGATCAATGTGTAATGCTGGTTTTTACTGGCATCTGTGTTGCTATGGCATTGACGATTGTGAAAACAGGGTCAGGGGCTGGTGACTGTAGCTCTATCAACAGAGTGCTTGCTTAGCCTACATGCTATACGGGGTTCAGTTCTCATCAATGCATGCACCAGAAACGGTGGTCCATGCCAACAGTCGTAGAATTCAGGGGGTGGAGGCAGGAGGATTAAGATGTATAGATTAATCCTTGAGCTACAAAGATTGTTGGTGAGCTCCAAAGCTCATCAGGTGTAGCATAAGAAAAGTCCAGTCTGCTGGAGAGGATATGTAACAGGCATATATAACGGTTATATATAAAATCCAGACCCGTGGCAGACATATTTACTGGCAATTTCCTGGTCTACTGAGCATACAGAAAGTATGTACTATAGTTATAATTCTAGTCAAACTGTGCAAAATTGTCCTTGAAGGGTGATCAATAAGGAACAGTGCAATAACCATGGACGATTGGACAGGCCTTAGGTGATGTAATCATACCCAGGAAGAGATCACAATATAGGTGCTCTTAATATTTTAAAATTTAAAGACATTTTAAATGATAACAGTTTAGACTTACAGAAAAGATACAAAGACAGGATAGAGAGTCCCATGACCAATTTTTCATTTATTAACATGTTACATTATTATATGATCCTTGTCACAGTTCATGAAGCAACACTGTTCATCAGCTAGAACCCATATTTTCCCAGGTCTCTTTGGCTTTTTCTTATCCAGGATCCCACCAAGAGGATGGTGTTACATTTGGGTGATACTTCTTTTAGGATGGTTGTAAGCAGGCAGTGTTTCTTCCCAGACTTTCCTTGGTTTTAATACACTTAGCAGTTTTGACGAGAACTGGTCAGGAATCTTATAGAATGTCATTGGGACTTGTGTGATTTTTCTTGGCATTTTAATTATTGATAGAGATTTATGATTGTTAGCTTTTTCAAACATCTCCCTCCAAAATATATGAATAGAAGATCTGTCATAACATGTGTTTATAAACCTGCAGTCTTTATCAAACAAACCGTGAATCATACGTCCTGGCTGTAAACTTGCCTTTTCCCCATTCAAACCTGAATTTCAAGAAGCCAGGTAGGGGGAGTGAAGAAGGGAGGGAGGGAGGGAGGGAGGAGAGCTGAAAGGGAGGGAAGAACTCCCACAAAGCTCAGCAAGCAATCTCAGTCTGTAAACTGCAAAGTACTGAAAAGAGTCAGCCCTCAGCCATACACCTCATGCCCCATCTCTGACTAAAGGAAGTCAATAGTTCTTGACCCCAGACAGTCGCTGTCATGGCTCATGTGAACAGAAAAAGGAAGCTTAAGTGACTGGGAAGCTCAGAAGTAGCACTTGCCCACGCGTGAGGCTGTGGTTCAGTCATCAGCACCAATAAGAAAAAAAAATAAAGTTAAACTAAATACGGCATAGATTAATGCTAAGTTTCCCCATAGTTTCCACAGAAATAATCTCAAAGGTATAAACCAGAACATAATCAGACTTTCAGTGAATCTTTTTCTCTTTGCTTTTCAAAGGCGGAAAGTCCAAATAGAAGGAAGTGTATTCTATAGCTTTGTAAAGTCTGGTGCCGCGGGAGCCTTCTCGTTATAGGACAACTATCGTGGGCTTCAGTAAATCAGACTGCACAGGCTACAGAGTTAGTCAAAACACCCTTTAGAATTCTACGTTATTGCTAGCAGTGAGAATGAAGTTCCAAAGCCCTTTAGTGCTAGCGGCTTTGGAATGCTCCACAATACTAGCCGCAAGGAAATGGTAAACTATTTAGTGCAATAAGAAAAGGCAATGCTCAGTATTACCTTTGGAGCTCAAAATTAAAATATTGTTATTGGAATATAGACAGAAGACATGTTCTGTGAACAGAGGTACTCACAGTGCGGGCCAGCTCTAGATAGCTTCCGCCCGTAGAGGTGCCAACATGCGGAGGTTGTGTGAGAAGCTTGTGGAGGACAGCTGGCTCAGGCAAAGAGCTTCCACCACACTCCAGCAGCTTCTGGAAGGGCAGCCGGCTCTGCAAGTCTGGGCTCTGGAGGTCTCTGGCACCGGGATCATACTCCCAGTTCTCCCTGGCGGCTGACAAAGCACCTAGTCCAAGAGATGCGGGGGGAAAATAAAAGTCATTTCTTTCATTAGCCTGTGGGTGGTCAGCAAGCAAGGATTCGAAGTTTCTGAGTCTTCCCCGTGCCAGCGTCCCCAGAACACATGTGGCTCCCAGGCTGCCTGCTAAGGACTTTTCCTTTCAAATTGACATGCAGGAAGTTTGGAGATGAAAGCAATTTCAAGTAAAGAATTTGGAAATAATGTCCAATGAATATGAACACCCTCTCCAACATGAAAACTTAGGGGAGAGAGAGAGAGAAGAGAGAAGAAGAAGAAGGGAAGAGGGAGGAAGGAGAGGAAGAGAAGAGAGAAGAATAAGGAGGGAGGAGGAGAAGGAGAAGCAGAAGCAGAAGAAGAGAAGAAGAAGAAAAAGAAGAAGAAGAGAAGGAGAGGGAGAGGGAGAGGAAGAAGAAGAAGAAGAAGAAGAAGAAGAAGAAGAAGAAGAAGAAGAAGAAGAAGAAGAAGAAGAAGAAGAAGAAGAAGAAGAAGAAGTAGAAGAAGAAGAAGAAGAAGAAGAAAGCGAGCACAGGAGAGCCAATTCAGATGGGAACCGCATCAGTCTTTGATTTGCACTTGGTTTTCATGTTGACCTTGGTGCTTGCTGGAGATCCTGGGGAAGAAGGAAGCGAACGAGATGACAGATGGTATTGATTTAACCGTGACTTCCTCATGTTCATGTCTTCTCACCTGGAGGAAACTGGGCTGTGTTCATACTGGGGCAGCCGCACAGCTGAGTTCAGGGCAGCAGACTGTGGACAAAGTGACAGCCTCGCTTCCCAGGCTTCTCACAAGCCCCCCCCCCCAGTGTGTGGTTCCCCATGCCCTTTGCTTCTGGTAAGGTTCAGGTGGATCAGCACTTGGGAAGCCATGTAGTGCAGATGGCAGAGTCACAAGATAAAAGATGCCTAGCTCCTGGAACCACCTTTTATGGGGGAGTAGGCGGCTCACCCTAAATACCCTGTGTTTTTACTTTATATGACTAGGAATGGAGCTTCTCTTGCAGGGGTTCTCAACCTTCCTAATGCTGTGACTCTTTAATACAATTCCTCATGTGTGGTGACCCCAAACCGTAAAAGTATTTTGTTGCTAATTCATAATAGTAATTTTACTACTGCTATTAATCGTAATGTAAACATCTATGTTTTTTGATGGTCTTAGGTGACCCTTGTGAAAGGGTTGTTCGACACTCAAAGAAGTCGTGACACACATGTTAGTATTACCCTATTACAACAGATTAGAACCTAATGGTATTTGTTTGGTTGGGGCCTCCAGCTTGCCCCTGTACAGTCCAGAAAGCCATATTCCAATCTCTCTGTCTCTCTCCAAATTCTACCTACTCAGAGAGTCTCCAAAAAAGCCGGGTTCTGCATTCTTGGTGACTATTGCAACTTTCTCCCCTGACGCTTCCAGCCACCCAGGTCCCCACCTAAGCGCTCAACTTTTGACCATCCTTGGGCACAAACCCAGCTTGTGATGAACAAACACATCACTATCACTTGCCTACAATCTATAAAACTTTCCTCCTGGTCTGGCCTGGGCATGTGACTTCTCTGACCTCAGAGAGCCCCCCCGGGAGTTTTTTTGTTCAATATACCTATTGTTATGTTGTTACATTTTTCAATTTGGCTTGCTCTGACTTACAACATAGGTGGAGAGACTGATTTTCCTGAGGGTGGGGGTGGGGACAGAAAATCTATTAGTACTAACGATTGTAATATGATGCAAAAGTGTAGTGAAAAGTTGACCTAGAGGAGGAGCTAAAGCTCGAGGCTTCCATTGTTGCCTTTGCTAGAAATAATAAAATAGATATATTTTACTAGACTTGGAGAAAACCCTGCTTTTTTGTATTGTCCGCTTCAGAACTCACATCTCTCTCCGGTACATGTGCCTGAGTCACATGCTTCTGTCTTAGCTACAAGGAAGGCTGGGGGCATTTTATAGGGAGGTAGGTCATTTTTAAACAGTCAGAGGAGGGGTGTTCAAAAAGGTTGAATGGCAGACACGTGACAAAGATTGTGCATTCCCAAGCCAGATGAGGGATGGTAGAACGGAGCCCATATCCCAAGCATCTCTCAGAGAGCATGCAAAGAGTGGGTTGCTCCCTATCCAATCAGGCTTGGGCCTACCAACTCCATAGAGCCAAAGGCCGTGTCATGATAAAGTCAGTCAAGCTTCTGTCCCCCAACCCAAGGAGCTGGCTTCTCAGAAACCATGTGACCGGCAGACAGTCTGCTAATCTGACTGATAAGCCTGGAACTCACCACCCTCACCCTGCTGCAGCACTTCCTCCTTTGACCCCTTTCTTCCCCTTCCTTCCCCCTGACTTGAGCTATATATGCTACCCCTACCATTTCAATACAAGCTGGCTTCTGAAACAGTCTCTCTGGTCATTCCGACCTGCAGCAAACAGGAGATCCTCCTCCCCAGCTACTCCCCATCCTGTGTCTCCAGTGTGCAATGGCCAACTGGGGTCAGGGGACCCGCAGAAGTTGCTATGGGCACAGTGTTGGGTACTGGGGATTCAGTAGGAAGCGTGATAAAGTGCAGCTCCTGATTGTGGAGTATTGCAATCTTTAACATGCAACTTTCAACCATGACAAGGAAGGATCCAAGCTGATAAACTTGTGTTGTGAAATGAGAGCATAAACAGACTGTTCTGCAACTGGTGTATAATAATGTGTAGCAAACTACAAACTGTGTACCGGAGGTTCTGACACGAATAGACAATCCACCTTTTGTGGCTTATTGGTGAAGTTAATCAATGTGATTTCAAAAACTATCTTCCTGTGATTGATCACTGACTATGCTCTGCTTCGCTTAAGTCAGTTTGATCCAAAAGTTTCATGCAGTGCTGTGTGACTAGATATACCAGCCACTCTGAATCAAAGCACACAATACTGTCTCTGTGTTTCTTCACAGCCTGAACAAACTTGCCTTCCATTTAGATGATGGCGTTATGTTAAAAGTAAAATGCTACAGGTCTCCAGTGGCTGCAGCGGGCAGCAGGTCCCAAAAGCAGCCAGTCCCAGGCAGGGGCAGTTCCCCGAGTGGCTGCAGTGGCCATGAGTCCCAGGCAGGGAGCCGCCTGGTGGGTAAGAGACCTCCATAGGGCAGCCAGTCTCACGAGGAGAGACAGACAGCCGGGCACACCACGAGACCATGCCGCAGGTCTCTGAAGGTGGCTGATCCCTGGCAGTGAGTCACATGGTGGGCGAGAGACAGACAGATAGATAAGCACGCCATGTAGAGTGAGGTTGGATATTTATTTAGTGGGTTATGAAGGGGAAAGGGGAGAGGGAGGAGAAGAACAGAGAGAGAAGCAGGGAGAGAGAGAAACAGAAGGGAGGAAGGGGAGAAGTGGGGAGAAGGGAGAGACAGAAGCTGCCTCTTTGAGAGGGAGCTGGAAAACAGAAAAGACTAAGGCTGGAAGCTGAAGATAAGCTTGCCTTGGCAGATGAGGGAGGGAGTGGGCATGGCTTGTCTCTTAAAGGGACAGAGCAGACCATAATAGATGGTGATGCTGGGACTGAACCTAGAGCCTCACAGGTATTTGGCAAGCAGTCTAGCTCTGAGCTACATCTCCAGCCCTCAAAGTCCATTTTAATACACAGCCTATAGTTTATTATTTTTTAAAGATTTTATTTTGTTTTTTTATGTGTGTGTATTTGCCTGTGTACATGCCTGTGGATACTTGCAGAGGTCAGGAGAAGGCAGCAGATCCCCTGGGGCTGGAGTTACTGGCAGTTGTGAGCCTCAGGATAAGAGTGCTGGGAACCAAACTTCAGTCCACTGCAAGAGTAACAGTGCTTTAGTCACTGAGTCATCTCTCTAGTTCCTTACCCCTTAGTTGTTTTGCAAGGGAGGCTTTGCTTTGCTTCAATACAGGCTTCAAAATGTCCATCCTTCTGTCCTTCCCTGTTCTTCTCAGTGCTTTGCTAGTTGCCTGATTACCTCAGGGTTTTTGCCCCAGTTCCAGCATTAAGTGACAGGAAGACTGAATGAGATCAGAATTAAAAAATGGTTTTTTTCTACACAATTGAATCTCAGGTGGTCTTCACACATACAACGATACATGTAGAGCTGGAATTTCTTCTTATATCCGCATTATCCCTAGTACTGTACACAAGCCTGTGATAGATCAGATTTTTAATAAACATTTAATGAACAGATTGCTGAATGATGCTTGGTGGTATTGCCCTGGGGTTTCATTCTTTAATCAGGAAAAGCAAAGGTTTATTACTTAAAATATCAAAATAAACAACATGCACATTTTTTCTTTATGACGACGGCAAGAGACTCACTTTACAATAAAATATGGTAGTACTAGAATGACCTGGTCAAAGAAAACTTTAACTATTTTATTTCTTGTTTTTTCTTTTGTGACAGAGTTTCTCTGTGTAGCCCTGTCTGTCCCAAAACTCACTCTGTAGACCAGACTGGCCTCAAACTCAGAGATCCACCTGCCTCTACCTTCTGAATGCTGGGATTAAAGGCGTGTGCCACAACTGTCTAGCTAGGAAACATCAATTATGTCATGCTGTAAGTCCCAGCCCAGTTGCTAGCAGGTCTAATTGCCTAACTATGCTTCCTATTCATCGCCAGATCAAAAGACCTTAATCATTGCTCTATAATCACTGCTGCTGATGTGATGTTGAGCAACTCAGACCTGCTTAGGAACAAGTGAATCATAATGCATCCACACAGCATAAAAAAGGAAGTTCACTTAAAATAGAGCAGACAACTCCAATTATGTTCTTTTCCACCGTCCTCTTTTTTTATATTACACTTTTTTAGAGAAGAACCACCATTTTCAAGACAAAACCTCATCATATAGTTGGGCTGATTCCACTGAAAAACTTCCAAAGAATAGATATAGCGACCATCTCTTAGACCTTCGCATGTGTGGTGGTTCCTGATGACTTGAGACTCTTGCCATCTTCCATTCAGTTCCTTTCTAACTTCTGCTGGTTCCTGTGTGTGGTGGT